TATTTAGCTTTAACAACCACTCCCGAGGGTGATTTAAAGCTCAGAATCCATCAATGTTCACTGAGTACACCAATATAGAGATTATACTCAACACTGCTTAAAAAATGACAACTGAGTAAAAAGATACTAAACTTTCTCCTTAATTTCCTGTAACTAAAAGGACTTCTGACACTTTAATGCAAACACTGATTAAGTGTGTTTGTGCGTCTCGGTGCAAAACTGTCTTAAAGCAGCCATTGAATGAGAAGCTTCTTCCCTAGCAATTAAAACGCGACTGCTAGCGGCTCGTGAGCACTGAAAGTGGTTCAATCTGTTCCTCAACCACAAAAATATACAAACTTATTTTAATCATTGTCGTTTCTTTTTGGGCTCTTATTTGTTAAAGGATTTTTCATTTTCACCTAAAATCACAAAATCTTTTCTTTACTAAACTCTTGTGGTATTTAGCTATGCAGGAAAGAAGACCATTATTCTTTACTAAGCGAGACATTGTACCTGTCAAAGAAATGTTCCGTTGAGTTTTTCTAATGTCGTTGTCTCAGCTGCAAATATATCTCAAAATATATGTATTCTTTTGTAACTGACCTTTAAAATTATATCACGAGACAATGTACTGTACATTGATATTCCTTTGTGTCTGAGAAATTGGCCATGAGGGTGACTGTTAGCATGTGTGGTGTGTGTGTGTGTGTGTGAGGGGGCAGGGGCTCATTGAGGTGGAAGGAAGTGGGGAACCCTGTAGCACTGTCTGGCCCTACATATGACAAGACAGCGACAGTACACACACACACGTTCTAGAAATGTTAGGCTCCCATCATTGTATACATTTTACTTATTAGAAGCATGTACTGTGTATAAATGGTGAGGGAGTGTGTAGGTTTAAGTTGTGGTGGTGTGGGTGGTTGTGGTGTGTGTGTGTACAGGCTGCTGGGAGCATGTTTTAGTGTGTTTTTTGCATATTTGCATATATAGTATGTATATTTTGACACTTGCTGAGGTAGCAACAATTCAGTTTGACAGGAGCTGTGTGAACCACTCCGCATGTGTTCATATGTACGATCACGTGAGTGTGGGTTATTGGTGGAGAAGAATCCATATGACAGATTGACAGATATGCAGACATATGCTTAGACGGCCATCAGACAGAAACGCCCAGCCTGTCTGCACTCCCAGCACCTACAGTATGTGAACACACTTCTGTACATGCACACACACACACACACACAATATGTCAGTCCATTTTACTTTTCTCTCCACACACACAAACAGCTGACACACTCTGTCCACCTCAAAGACCAGACAGGCTCCTGCTGCGCTATAGGAGCGAGGTCACAGGTCGTCCTAAATATCACATCCAATCTTCTGTGGTCCTTCTCACCAGCTGGAGTTCAGTCAGTGCAGTGTTTAGTACAGGAAGATAACTGTTAGTTACAAGGACAAGGAGGACCTTATTGATATTCTGCGCCACCTTAGATCTACACGCATTCACAAACACTTTAAAACAACTGGTTTTAAGTGAAACTTGTGTGCAGTGTCTACATTTAATAAAGATTTATACAAATTTCTCAGCTCCATGAAGAGATGGCCTGCTGACCTGAGAATAAACCCCATAATACAAAGGTATCATCTGATAGATACTAAATCTGATCCGTTACTTCAGTTATAATAGTTACAAAAGCTAGTACTAGATACGAGAGTATTTTATATCATTATGTAACTGCTGACATATTTCTACCTCCACGTTTGTTGATTTTTAGTTTCTGCTGATTAAAATAATTTTCAGAACTAATCTCTTTATGAAGGCATTCAAAATCTAAATAGCTCAAAAAATATTGTTAAAGCTAAAGTTGAACTTGTTTTTGTGAAACACTTTGGAGATACAAGGATTTAACCCAACTACAATCAAAGTACAGTGACAGTCAAACTTTAATTTTTCCGTTTAGTATAGAATCAGTTACAATATCTTTGTTATTTATATGTTGACATGAAATTGAGTTAATGCTGGGGCTTTGCTAATATTAGCAAAGCGCAGTCTGACTGAATCTGAATTAAAGATTTACTTCATTTATCCTCAATGGGGAATAATTTTTTCAGAGAAATTAAAAATGGTATACAAAATATCACACACAGTATTTTACTGGTACACACGCTGCAGCCTGCGTGAATTTTTCAGAAGGCATTTCAATTATTAACACACATTAAATATGCACACCACATGGTAGATGTGGGCTTGTGTGATCCTACAGACTTCAACCAGGCACTTATGACCTAAACTCAAACAACCACACTATGCAGCCTGTATAGGCTGACCTCTACATATAGAACAGTACAGGCTTACATAAGAGCACATGCAATTCTGAAGAACATGAGCCATTTTCTGCTGATTGACTATCCCTAAGGTTGGGCAGAGATTGTTGGTAATACTGCTCATGGATAGAAAACCTGCAAAATGTTTATTATTTATCCTGCATGTAGCTGGTTCCTTTTTTATTTTTTTTTAATTGTTAAATTGGGAACAACTTAAACATGCTGTTGATGTCATGACCAAATCTCCCTGTTCATTTTTTAATAAGAAATTATTATATTTTAGTCATAATAGTATAATCATTTTTGTTTGTCAGGGCCACCACAAAAAATATGGAGGATCTGGAGTACTCAGGCAAAATGACTTCTTGATAATCCAGTCTGGACACACAAAGTTATATCCTCTCAAAACCACCATCATCAGATGGATGTCAGATGTTGGTGGACAGATGTCTCAGTTTGGATTAAAAACCAGAAATCATGTTTGTGGCTGTGATTCAGTCTACTCTGGTTGAAATTGGATGCTCAGAGAGGATGTGATGGAGAGGGATTGTTGAACTGTGACTTTTGAAAGAAACTATCCAAAGAGTCTGCGTTCAAACAGACCATCAGAAAAAGGCAAAGGAGCAAGACTTGCTCTTAAGCAATATATGTTAATATCAGCATGTCAACATGCAAACATAACTAATGTACTAACACTAGTGCTATACTGTGTGACATGCTGAAGTACAGTTAGCATGATGACAGGTCTTTCCATTTTGAGGTATCCCTGTTGTGTATGTAAGTTTTGAATAAGTGTGATTTCTGATCTGTTGGTGGCATGAGATGAAAACCTTGTGGAACACAAGAGGAGATAGTTTTGGTGTTCTGTCCAAATGTCGTCACCACTAGAACAAATGAATAATAATGAAGAATCTTTATCTAAAGTTTCAGCCTTCTTAGAGCTAATAATACTTGAAAAGTGTAAGAAAATAATGGTGGGGGCAGAACATTATTATCCTTGGCTGAACACATATGCAACAGTAAAAAAAAAATTAATTGTTTTCCAAGATGTCAGCTAATAGGATGATGTAACTGTGACAACTGACCCGTATTTCATGCAACCACAACCCACAAGAAAGACCACAGACACAGATATTGTGAAGAAACCATCCCTTTATTGGTGTGAAGCAGTCCCATCCAAGTCAGGGTCAAAAGGGTTAAAAACAGTCAGTGCTTAAACAGACCAAACCAGAGTTCTTCCTCACCCTGCTGGATCTAGTGGGGTGGGATTTACAAAGTCGTACTGGGTGCAGACGTACGAAGCGCTGCGTCGAAGTAGTGAGAGGGGATCCACAGAAAATAGAAAAAAAGACTTCACTTTACTCCAAACCACGTTCACTGCTTTTACTGAAACACTACAGCAGTACCAGAACTTTCTCTGGGAGGTAGGAAGGGGGTTAGAGAGGGGAGGTGTGGATGTGTGTGTGTGTGAGAAGGAGAGGGGTGTGTTTACTGAACTCACAAACTGATGGGGTAAAAATCTGGGGTCTCAAAACCACATTGATGACAGTTAAAGAGAGAAAACGTTTCATTTTTTTCATTTTTAATTTGTTCTAACGAATGCTTCAGATTGTTTTGTGAGCAGGAGAGCGTTAATGGGCCAGAAGTGCTTCCCCTCCTTTTTTGGTGGTTTATTTGTTTGTTGTCTCCATGGTGATCACCAGTTAACCAGGGAGTCCTTTACCATATTGTTGCCGCTGCCACCATTGCTGCAACGTTCTTACTTGGCGTTGGCGGAGCTGCTGAGCACCTTGCGGACCGCCTGAGTGATGGCGTCACGGTCAATGCCAAAGATTCGGAGAAGCTCGTGGGGCTTGCCGCTGCGGGGCACCTGGGAAACTGCCAAGCGGTGGACGTTGAAGCCGGTCTCGTTCACTACCGCCGAGCACACTGCCTCACCCAGACCACCTGAGAAATCAGAATAAAGAGCAGTCAGGACTATTGATTAAAGGGTCCGTTCACACAATCAAACACAAGATTTTTTTAATAATAGATTTCCTCCAAATATTCAGATTCAAGTCTTTCATCTGTTCTTTAATCTTTTGATTTCCACCCTTCTGTCATATTAAATCTCTCGCACCTCCACGGGCAATTGAGCTCTGCAGCGATGTGATGTGGGCTGACAGGAGG